GCCATCTGCAATAATTAAAAAATATATTCCAATGAAAAATTGATTCTGCTTTCAAGCAAAGCTAAATTTCTGGGCAGATGATATTATAAAAGTACATTATTTTTATTTTTAAATTGATGCATCCTCAATCAAAATCTAACATAGCACTTTTATTATATTAAACTTGAAAATACTCCTAAATTGAATTATTTGTATTTTATTTAATTTTTCCCTTTTATTCATTAAAATATTTCAAAGATTAACTTGATACCTTAAATTTTGTCTAAGTTTATTAATGCAAATCTTCTCTTGGAATGCTTGATTTCTTTTGAGTTCTGAAATTCTGACTACTATCAAAACATATGAGAACTAATCTCATTTACTTTGTGTGCCTTGCCTCTTTAGGATGTAGCTGATCATGGCTCTCTAGTTTCTTTTGTTGCTCTCAGGTATACTTTCATTTATGATCTATGATGTTTCTCTTTGAGGTGCCCATTCCTACATCCATTGTTCCTTGTCAAGTTAGTTGCTCCCCACCCCTTCTGTTTTCTTTCCTTCATTATGTTCTGTTCAATGTTAAATTCTCAAAGCTAACATTGCTTATGTCATCTGATTAGATCAGACTTTTTATAGTTCTTGTTAGAACTTCATTTGTCAAATAGTCTCTTCATGCTATTCTCAACCTTCATTGGACGAACCACAGTTCTGTTTTCAACCTTTTTTTTTTTTCTTCCCCTCTCTCTCTCTCTCTCTGTCTTTGGGTAAATTGTCCAGTTTTCAGTGTCAGGAGGGCAAACATCACATAACAGTATGACTCTTTCTTTGTTTCTCCTGGAAGGGGGAATACTGTAAAGCCTTCAGGCTAGGTAAGGTGACTTTCCATGGAGGTGGAGGGTTACATTGTGTTGGAAAGTTTTTCACCACCTCCCTTTCTTCTTTTTTTTTTTTTTTTGTCTCCAATATTTATGGCTAACATGGTATATGGTAAGAAGTTTGAGTACATGCACACACAAATGATACTCAGAAAGTGATGCCTTTATTCCCACAGAAACAAGACACAATAAGCACAAAACCATTGAATAGAGCAAGTTTTGAATGACCGTTGAGATTCAAATAGGCAGGCTAGTGTGTGTTATATATAATGCCCTATTTCCACCCATCCCTTTTTATTAAATATGAATATTTTATAAAAGGAGTGGTTGGAATAAGGATGTCCTGGGTGGATTATTATCAAAACTACACAGAATTTAAAAAACAAATGTTTAGAAAAACTGCTGTTAATAATCTGACATGTTGGTTATCTTGCAAATTTTCTCATTGGTCAGAATGATCAGTTGAGGTTGATTATAATTAAAACCTTAATTGAGGATAATAATGGCCCAAAAGATCACCAGTTTGCATCAGCTTATGTTAGTTGCTTTGATGTGTGGCTTCCACTTGACAGGTAGGGCTAAACCTAGTGTGCCTTATATGTATGATTAACAAGTTAATATTGAATGTCCTGCTTTTGATGGCGTATCGAAAGTGGATACTTTACAGCAATATAGGACAAATGAAATAAACCACCATAAACTGTGCTATATGCCGGTCTTCATCCAGTGAAGGCAACAGTGTATATGATGAGATGGAAAGACTCTCTACTATGATCTCATTCCAGAGAAGCAAATTGATTTGAACAAGTATTGCTCCTGATTAGAACAGCTGAAGACAATAATCAAATGACAAAACGTTCAACCAGAATTAATGAGAAAGGGTAATATTCCATCACAATGCTGCAGGACCCTGTTTCTTGGTAACCAAGCAAAAATTAAATTTGCCTGGATTTTTTTGTTTTTTACTCTACATTCACTAAATATTGCTCCTTTGGGTGACCAATTATTAATGTCTTAAGAATTTTTTTTTATTGAAAAATGTTTCAGGTTAATTAGAAGAATGAAATTATGAATTTGCTTGAAATATAATTGAAGATAAATTGAACTATCAAGTTAATAGTTAAGAAAAAAAAGGTACTTAAATTGAATCAAATTTCCCCACTCCAACATATAAGCTACTTGAAAGTTTAGAATTTGAATAGTGCATTAATATAAATATTTAATAACTTGAGGATTTTCCAAATGCTGGTTTACCGTTAGATTAACTCCCAATAGTACTTCCATAATATTTGCTTGCAACCATATTATTTCTCATATAAGACTGTGCTATTGATTGATTCCCCCCCATTTGTAACTCATAGATTCATACAGTAGCTGTATTGATTTTAATATTTTAATTTCTCTCTCTCCACTAGTTAGAAAAATTGATACATAAGGTTATCTTCATTATTAGGTTAATTTGTATTCCAGAGCATTTAGCTAGAAATGTACACTCTGAATTTGTCAATTGATCTATGTATTTACATTTTAGGGATGTAAATTACACCATCCAGACACATGTTGGTTTTGTCTGTTTTTTTGTTTCCTCTCTCCACCAGTTTTTTTTTTTTTTTTTTTTTTTTTTTTTTTTTTTTTTTTAATTCTCTCTAGGATATAGGCAATCATTGCTTTCCAGATTTTACTGAGAATTGCTATGACTTTTTGGAAAAATAGTTGTTTCCTATTGCCTTCTCCATGATTTTGAATTTAGAGTAGTCTTTCCCTTAGAGTTGGCCATCATGGCTAGAAAGATTAGTCTACCTTATTTACTTCATAGTTAAGATTGTCATTTGCAAATTGCTAATACAAAAGTAAACATGTTGGACTATACTGGAATTTGAACTTGGCTTGTTGGCTCCATTTTCCACACTTAAATATCCAAATTTATATTTGGATCTAATATAAATCTATTTCACACTTACTAAAAGTGTTTTCTCCCCCCCCCTTTTTTTTTCTCCAAATTGCTTCCTTTTCAGTCATTGATCTTAATTTATCTTAAGTATTACTAAGAAAATTGTTTCTTACATGTAAGTTGCAGCCAATTGCAGAGGGATTTCTATGATTGTAAATATGACTTTAACAAGATTCATGGGTCTGAAATCTCTGGGGTTTTTTTGGGGGGGGGGAGTTCTTCCCTCTTGATCAATTTTTATTTGTCAGTGTTTTGCATAAAATTAATTTTGCCTTGAGGCTTTTTATACCAATCAACATTTCTAGTCTTGTCATGGAATTTAGTCATGGAGAGAGATGGGGGGGAATGGTGAGGAGCATTGCATGGTAGGTAGATAGCTTTTCTTCGATAACCCTACTTTGATATTTTACCATGTAATTTACTCACTAAACACTAGATGTTATATTACAAATGTTGCCAACCACTAGGATTTCATTGTAATCACTGCTGTTAACTTGCTCTTAACAATTAGTGTATGTGGCTGATGTTGATTGGCATAATCTTGTTGCTACTTAATCAATTCACACCTAACTTTTGCTACAAGACCAATAGCTTATTGTCCTGCTCTTTGCTATATTTAGTCCATAACTCCTTGATAAAACTTGATGCTACAATTAGATGTTTCTTTCAGGTCTATTTAGTTTTAAATTCTCTAACCCAGAAAATCCTTTATCTATTTTCTTTTAAAGTAAATATCACAAAATAACTGAAGTCTGTTTCTAACCGACTTCTCTATATAATTTGTAGTGTCTGCTGTTTATTGTTTTTATTACCACACTAAATATTAATTTATAAAATCTCGTTTTACATATATGGTCACCATGTTTCCAATGTGGACACCTCTGTGTATTTTCACATTGTATAAGTTTTTGTCAAAATTTTAATTTTTCTGCCCAAGTTTTGATCACTTACTTGATTTTGTCAGATCTTCATCAGGTTTTCATTTTCTTGGAAACTATTTTTCTTTTGTATCCATTTAAAAATTAATGTTTGTGTATAAATGCAGGAGTCTGCAGGATCTAATATAAACATATTAGTTTTCTTACATGAAGAAATGCATAGAAAAGGTTATTTGTATATATCATTTCTTTTTCTCTTAAGTAACACTGGTCCTATATTGTACACACCTACTTAAGTATAGCATTGGATTTTTAGGTAATCGTTGATGTTAATGTCTATAAAAAGAGACAAGTAAAAGCTGTCTATTTATACTGAATCTTTTAAACCCGCATCAATTATACAAAAATGATGCTTACTTTAATGTCGGCCATCAAACTTGTGGGCTTTGCTTCATTATTCTCAGGCTCCTAGATTTCTCTCATTTTCTCTTATCTGAATTGTCCCAATCATGAATCTAGAATTGCTTTACTTTTCTCAAACTGTTTATAGTCTAATTTTTTTATATTCAGTACCTGATCTTTAGTGTCTTCATAACTGGTTTAGCAACCAAATATAGCCTTTTATTTATTGCACTAATTAAAAAATATATATCTTCATTTGACATGTCAAAATGAACTAGGATGTTATATTTGATGAAATATCTGGGAAATAACTTGATATAACATGTATTTATCTGAGGAAATTTTGTCTCCCAAGAAGGTTTAAACATCCTCTTGATACCTCCCATAAGACATTGAAGACAATGGTGCCTTCATTGAGCTAATGTTGTACCATTATATTGGAGGTGTTTCTGTGTGTCCCCACCCACCCATACATATATTTCCCAACTAATTCGGTATATATAATGTCTAAAATTAATTTTTAAAATTGAAAAGGCTTTTTTGATACTTTCATTGTAGCTTTAATTGAAAGCTAAAGGATTTGAAATTTCCTATTTCCAGTCATCAAAATACTCTGCTGTATTTCAAACAGAAGTTGTATTGAACAATTTTTTTTTTTTTTTTTTTTTTTTTGTCACTTAAATGGTTTGTCTTTAAAAAGTTGGTTTATCCTTTTAAATATGCCTCCAACCTCATGAATATCAACTGGATGTAGTACCTTTCCCTTGTGTATTATCTGAAAATAAAACTATATTTTTAGTAATATAGTAGAATTGATGCATGACAATTTTAATTCATCTCTAGCACAAACCAGTATAATGTTTGAAGGTTTAAAGTATCATAACTAACTTTTTTATTTCCTCTCTTTTATTTTTGCAGGTCCTTTTGTAGATGTGGTAACAGCAAACTTAAAATTAACCAATCCCACAGGTCGTAAAATATGCTTCAAAGTAAAGACCACAGCTCCCAAGCGGTATTGTGTGAGGCCAAACAGTGGGCTTATCAAACCCAAGGAATCTGTAACTGTTGCAGGTAATTATTTTTGCAATTTTTACTATTGAAAATTTGTACAGTTTGAATTGTTTCAGAAAACTGTCACTTTAAGTACTCATTGTTTTTCGAAGAATGAATGAATATATATATATATATATAGAGAGAGAGAGAGAGAATGTATATGTGTGTCTAAAACTAAATGCCTACAGTAATTTGTGATGAAATAAATTTATATATACTCATTATCACCCAAACTAGCTTTTCATAAAATTATGTTTTGTATTTGATATTTTAAAATTAAAATGCATTTGAAATTCTCAAAATTAAAAAGTAAAAACAAACAGTAATAATTCTTATTCTTAAATCTGGTTACCGTTCGTTTTTGCTTTTTTATTCAGCTAAATGCTATACAAGTATATATTTTTAAAATTTGTATTCTCTTGAATTTTCGGATCTATAGTAAATAAAAGCGTAACTTTAAAAAATTAATATTAAAACAACAAAGCAAATTTAAAAGTATATTAAATACAATTATTTGAGAAAAGGTTTAATATTTTATTCGGTTGTGCGTGTGTCCGGCTAAAACTTAAAAACTACAGTAATTAATGTGTGTGTGTCTTCAAAAAATATTTACTATCTATTTTCAAGGAGAATTTAGATTTTTTTTTTTTTTTTTTTTTTTTTTTGTCAGTAAATAGTTTTACTTTTAAACATTAATTATTACTTTGAAAGAGAGTAGATGCAAGATATGTGGGTAGTTTGCTACTATGTAAGTGGCATGGCAGGTCCCATGCATGAAGGTTAGACCTGGTGGAACCATGGAATGTAGTTTGTCCAAGCATTTTCCATGGAAGTAGCAATAGAGCAGCGAGAGGCTTGCCACATCCTGCCTGGGAGAGAGAGGTTGGAGGGTGGGAAATAATTTGTCACCCACAAGGACTCAGCAACGCTTTCAAACTCTGAGACTGGAAAGTGAGAACTGGGCAGCTCCTGCCCAAATATAACGACGGTCCTCCATTTTTGGCCTGATCTGGCTCTTGTAAAGGTAGATATCGTGAGGAGTTAAGTACTTACTGGAGTAGTAAAGGGAGTCGACCATTTTAGCAATGGATTGTATGTACATGTTCCACTTGAGGTCAGGTGTAAGTTTTAAGGCCCAATAGTCTCAAGGCACGGTGCCTTCCTGAATGAACATCCATTCATTGTGACTGGTGGTAGTTCAGGATCCTATTGGCAATTATGGAATGTTTTGGTTTTCAAGGCATTAAATGTAACCAGCCAGTTTTTCCCCTACTGGGAAGTTAGTGTTAGATTGGATGAAAGATCAGCTGCCAGTCTGATCATCAAAAATTTTAGTGGTGTGCCCATATAATGCTTACAATTGATCCAAGTATATTATGTAGATCAAAAAGAGGGTTTGTCCAAGAAGAGACCCCTTGGGGGCACCTACATTGACTGTAAGAGCCTCTGAGGACTGGCCATTAATAATGTCAGGAAGGGTTTTATAATTAAGACCCTTCCAGTGATTCCATAGCAGGATAGCTTGTGTAGAAAACTTTTGTGCCACACCTTGTCAGAGCCCTTTGAAATATTTAATGCTATAGTCCTTGAGGTGTTTGTCAAGAGCCTTACTAATTCTGTCTATAATGATAGTTATAGTATAAGCTTTTTTTTTTTTTTTTTTTTTTTTTTTTTTTTTAGTGATCTAGAAGAACCCAAACATTTTAAACCAGTTTTATAATTGACAAAAAAAAACATGTCAAACACTATTCTTGTAGGTGAACTATCTGATAAACTTCAACATTTATGGTGTGAATTCTAAAAAAAAAAAAAAAAAAAATCCATTTTCATGTGTTTGGATTTTAAAATTTTAAAAATCTTTTAAAAAAAAAAAAAAAATTGCTGGCAGAGTATACAGTAATAGTGGTGTCAAGAGAGGAAAAAGATTTTTGAAACACTTTTTTTTTTTTTTTTTTTTTCTCTCCTTTTTAATTTCTTGATTATTTTTTTATTTTTATTTTATATGAAGGCTTGATGAAACATTTTGGCATATTTTTAATTGGCTTTCATGTGTGACTCATTTGAATTCATTATTTTTGTATGAAATTTTAAATTTTACGCTTTTTCACTTTGAGAAAATTACTTCCAAACTGTCCTACACAAACACGTGAGGGTCACTTATGTTGACAATCATTCTCTTTTTGCTTGATATTAAATGTTAATTTGCCTTTTTAAAATTTATCTAAATGTGGGAAATATATTTAATCAATATGCATTTTTGTTGACTATTAAAAAAAAAATGTTTAATCTACAAAAAAAAAAAAAAAGAAAGTTTCTTAAATTGTCAGTGTAAATGAAATCTGTGCAAATAATTGAATAGCAACTGATGAAGCTGACATTTTGTTAAAATGTTTTTTATGTAATAAATAGTTCAACTTTTATTAGACTTTAACAATGTCCTACATCCTTACAATATTGCATGGTTGTCACATTACTTTTAGACAAGCATGTTACAGTAACAATTCTAATTAGAAATGTAATTATCTATTAATCCTAAAATAAAGTATAAATATTATCTACATAAAAAGGATTAAAACTTTTGTCTAATGTTGCCAGAAAATTCTAGCAAAATTTAAAAGGAACTGTATGGTTTTCCGAAAGCTCTTGTATGGTAATGTAGTGAAATGTTAACTTGTGTAATCTCTTTAGTTTGAAAACCAGAGTTATGAAATTCATCATGTGTTTAAGGTGTTTTTTTTTTTTTTTTTTTTTTTTTCCTTGGCTGGTTATTTTAAAATCTCGTAAGTGGAAAACCTCTATCCTTAATAAATCATTTATTTCATGTACAGTGAAAACCTAGGTGATCTCATTTTGAAATTTTAATATGATTTAATATTTACAGTCCTACTCAAATAAACAAAACTCTAATTAGTATTATCATACTGACCCTTTCTAATTTTGTAGGGTGAGGAAGTAAAACTTGGAAAATTGCTATGATATTCAAAAACTGTCTTATGCATAAATAACCCTGTTGTTGATATAAAGGCATATTAATAAATGACTTGCTTGAAAACGTCTCACATTGTATAGTCTCCAGGGTTCAGATGCAATCTGGAGCAGGGCCAGGAGTCTGCTGGTCAGAAATTGGCAAAGTTAGCTTTGCAGAACTTCTGCACTTTATTGGCTGGGAGCACCATCCAAAGTTCACACACTTCTGGGTAGTTGGCCTTAAGCCATGGAAAAAATACAGTACCTCAGGCATCAGAAACCACCTTTTATCTCTGAACTTGTCAAAGAATTGGGGCATCTTCCCATTGCTGGCCACAATACCATGCTGGATGCATGGTCCTGAAGGTGCCCTTGAAATCAACTATTAATTCCACAGCTATTTCAGCAGTTCAAAATAGTGTTTATTGGGAAGATTATTCCTGTTGGAATATTTTAACAGTCGCCCTGTATTTCTTGAGGTACTTGAGTCCCTTTGCAGCTTCTTGGTCTTCATGAGCTTTGCAGGATTGTATCTCAACATCCCATGATTTAAAGCCTAGGTTATCATGCATAGACACCAGTCGTGTGGTTTGCTTCTAATGCTGAAGTTATTTTCTGTATTGATATTGTTTGGCCTTTTGCAATTTTGGTATTGAGGGCATTAATGAATTCCTATTTCCCAGTTTCTACATCTATAGTCTTCTTGACATTGTAAATTAATGACACAACAATATTTGTGAAGCTTTTAGGACACAACAATATTTGTGAAGCTTTTAGGACACAACAATATTTGTGAAGCTTTTAGGACACAACAATATTTGTGAAGCTTTTAGGACACAACAATATTTGTGAAGCTTTTAGGACACAACAATATTTGTGAAGCTTTTAGGACACAACAATATTTGTGAAGCTTTTAGGACACAACAATATTTGTGAAGCTTTTAGGATATATTTGTGCATGAAGTGAGTCTTATACTACTTATTGTTTGTACTTCTATTGTCTATGATATTCTTGATGTGTGTTGTAGTTTTAATTTTACCTAAAGTTCTCCCTCCCTCCCTCCACAAAGAACCTTGGCATCATTTCTATACACTGAGCTCATTTTGCATTTGATTTTGGTCAGTAATATCTGTGAATTATTGACTTTCTGATTTTATTCCTGACTCTTCAAATTGTATGAATTTCTTGTCAATTTCAGTAATGTTGCAACCCTTTGAGTATGATCCAGCAGAGAAGAATAAGCACAAATTTATGGTACAAACTATGTTTGCACCTGATGGAGAAATTGAAAGTCAAGATTTATTGGTGAGTAATTATTGCTTCAAAAGATATTACTTGATGTACTGCTGCTTTTGAAATTTGCCTTATAGCAGAGAGATTTTTCTACCATTGTCTTTGGTTGGGGTTTGAAACTTTGAATTATCAGCTTTTCAATGAAGGAATGCCCTCTCCTTGAAAGATAGCAACACTATCTTATTTCAACCAAACCAAATAAGTTAAGATAAGCTTAGTGTCTATTTGGCTTGAATATTTTTGAAAGTGTACATGTGCACACATGCACAAAAGCCAATTTCTGTAAAATAAAAATGTAAAAAATCAAAATGGATTTTTGCCAAATACAAATAACCTGAAAGCATTCAAGTTTCATACCCATTCACATAAATTTAAATTAAAACAAAAAAATGTTACATAAGAGTTAAATTTAAGTTTATACTGAAATTAAGATTTCCTTATAAATTACTCCTAAATAATTACTTTAAGTTACATACTTATTAACTTAGGTCACTAATATGAACTTTAGTAGTGATGGTAATTAGCTAATGTAAGGCTAATGATTACTCTCTTAAAATGGCTATTACAACTAGTTTCGTGTTAGAAACTCCTTGAAATGTATCTTCAAATATGATTAATGTGTATGTGTTTTTTGTTGTTTTTTTTTAACATTATATAACTGATTGGCTTTCAAATTGTCAGTTTCAAACTTGAGTTATATCAAAAATATTGGACATAATTTTACTTGTCAGCTTAAGCATATGTTCCCAATAAAAATAATATTTATAGGGATAAATAGTTACCTTAAAATATATGGAAATAGCTAAATTTGTCAATATTGCTTTTTGAAATTTTGAAATAAACTTGGATATTTCATTTTTTCAAGTACAAACAAAATTTGTACATATCTGTATTTTGAATTTACAGGTTGAAATTTACCCAATAAATGCTTACATAAATATGTTGCACCTAATATGATTATTTCAAGGTAGTGCTTATCAATTTGGTACTGAGTTTGACCTGTCTTCTAGGTGTTGCTAGGTGGCAGCATATTTAATATTTTGAATGGGTTCCATTATTTCTATGAAGTGTAACTTTGCAGCTCTCCTACTTATTTAACTGAAATTTATTCTTAATATTCTACAATTGGTTCTATTTAGTTTTTCTGAATAGTTTCAAATGCTAAGGCTGGTTACTGACTGAATACTTAACCTTAATGAGGATGCATGGGCACATGAACTTTATTCAGGGCATAAAATAAACTGACCCCCCCCCCCCATCGTTTTGTTTGGGCAGGGGTCAATGTTTCACTCATTTTATATTAACCAAATCTAAACATTAGGAAGAGCAAAACAAACAAAAAACAATGATAACTTGGGGTATTGGGAACTTGTTTTTTTTTTATGTAAAATAAATTGCTCTAGTGGTAAGTTTGCCTAAAATACTTGGATTTTTTCATAAAGAAATTTTCATCTCTACTTTTACACATGACTAGAAAATTTCCAGTGGAATTTTTTCACACTGGATTAAACAATAAATTCGAAATTTATACATTTGACTGAGAGAAAGCAAACGTCTTTAAAAATTAATAGAAACTGCTAGCAATATTGGTTGTGAAAATGCAATTTGTAGTTTGTTTTGTTAAATTAGGGAAGATACTTGCCAAGGACTTAATTTCTCATTTTATTTTAATTAATAATTTTTATAGTTAACTCATTACTTTTGTGTAACCAATGAAAATCCTGCGAGTGACCGTGTCGCAGCAAATCTAAGCATGTTGCAGATTCTTGAATCTTTGTGTCCACTTTTGTGACTCTTTAAGAAAAACGTATGATGGAGGTTCAAAAATATTCTCAGTCCCTCCTTCCCAGACCTCTGCACCTCCTTCCAAAGTGTCAAAATTTATTTTGGAATACTTTCTGTGTTAGATAGGGAATTTTTCATCACCACCTCCATGATTTTAAACTTGAATGAAATACATATTTTTTTTTATCTATTTTCAGTGGAAAGATGTTTCTCCAGAAAATTTGATGGATTCAAAGCTTAAATGTGTATTTGAAATGCCAACAACAGAGGTAAGACTGGTTTTCTTCTCTTTAACCTCTCTTAAACCAACCAGTTAGTCTCCTTTACTCTTACTATCCACACTAAACTAGACTAATTTTTGGTGTAAACTTCTTTTTTTTTTTTTTAACTCCTCCTCTTGAGTACTACTTGAAACTGTACTTACTACTATCATCTCTAAAACCTTTAAAAAAAAAAAAAATATTAACAATTTGGAAATCTGAGGTCAGTAAAATTTAATTTGAGACCAAATGTATGTTGTGTTTGTGTGTGTTTATATTTATTTTTTACCCTGTATTTCTACTTATTTTCTGAAAATTTCTGTATTACTATAAGATATATGCTTAACCAGTCTAGTTAGGTGGGGTAATTTCATGATGATTGAGAATATCTTGTAAAAGTCTAAGGAAAAAAAATATTTAAAACAAATTGGTTTGAATATCTATTATGCAAATATTTGTAAACAGTCAATTTTGCCAAATTTAGTTAGTTTTGCATAGTGATTTTTCTTTCTCTTAAGTGGATGCTGAAAAGTCCTTTACTTGACTCACTTCTCAAGATTTTGGTCAAAAAGATCTTTACTATGCATCAAACTTTTCAGCACTTCCTTATAAAAATGTCTTTTTTAATAGATTCATTTTTGGTTGTGGAAGACATTTTGTTTTTAAATCTAAGCAAAAAGCTAGGTCTTTAATGTTTCTCTTTATAGTTAGCAAAAAAATAAAAATGGCATTTTGAATAGCTTTCAGTGAAAGCACATAGTTTGGTGGATATTTTCTGTTTATTTAGGATTGAGAAGCAGCAGTCATTTTGGTGGGGTAAACATTCTGTTTTGAATTTTTTGATTTGGATCTTTTAGAGTGAAAAATGCAGATCTTTTTAAATTGTTACTAAATAAATGTGATAGTGTTTTCAATTTTTACTTGTAATTGAGGCAGAATTTATGAAATGATCTTTCACTTCAGGTAAATCATTGCTTTATTGAATAGTTAATTTTGTTTTGACTTAAACTTATTACTTTGGAGGAATTAAATGAAATAGTTGGCAAAAATAATGTATTCATTTGATTTGTTAGGTTGTTGTCGTAATCTTACAATACTGTGTTAGCGTACATGTACACTCCGGGTACATTTCAGTTACTTTGGATAATTAAGGATAATTAAGAGATTTCTGTAATGCAAAAGTTGTGTAGGAAGTTGTTAAAATAGGAGTGTCATTGTTTGAATACTTAAGTTGTAATGAAATTTAGTGTCTCAATCTTATGGATATCACCAGATGGGAAATTGACATTCTTTGATAGCTAATGCACGATTTTTCTCTTTTTCAGAAAGGTTTAATATTATTTGATTTGAAAAGTATCTGGTGTATTACAAGTCTGTCAATATACCAGATTATGTTAATATCTAAATCTGTAATATTTTTAATCTATGGATATGATTCATGAACACACATCACTGTTCATTCAATTTAATGATTACATGTAGTGATAAAAGTAAATACTAAAAAGCATTGCTGACAGTAAGCCGATGCCAAAATTTTAAAAGCTCATTTTAACATAGAAACAATTCTGCTAAATATAAATTAAGATAGGTGGTAACTTAGCTTTTCATTGTTTAATTTGCTACACTTAATTTAAAAATGTAATCAAAACGGCTGAGAGTTACTTTTAACAAATACTTAAATAGGAAATTAACCTTTTTATTTTTCCCATAACCTGCAACCCCACTTGGCACTTGAATATTGTGCATTCAAAATAGATTTTGGTTAGGAATTCTTAAGGCAAGTCTCAGAATTTGACTAATTTTTCAAAATGGATAAATCTTTAAATATTTGAATTTCCAATATGCTAAGCAAAGAATTTTGTTAACCGGAAATTTATTACTTTTCTCTGCACAGTCTGTTTTTTCCTCTATTCCAATGTTGAAAAGAATTTTTTCCAAATCTAAAGATTTGTGAATAATAGAAATTGTTGGACACTATTTTGATAAAACATTAACTTTCACAAGATGAAAATTTTGCTCATCATAGGCTTCCTGTTGGTTTTAAGAATTTTTTGATTTATTTTAACAGGAAACCCATCTGAACTATTGAAAATAGTTCAGATAGTACCTTTTATCATTAGTCACAGGAATGACAATATTTTAACAAGTCTTTAAATTCTTGAATGATTGGCAAGCTGAATTTTTATCAAGTTTGGGTTCTATAATAATACATTTTGAACATAAAAATCAGTTTTTGGAATAAACGTAAGGGAGGTAATCGGTGACTGGATTACTTCCCCTTTTTTAATATCACTGGAAATCACAGAAATTTTTTTATATCCGTTAAATAACTAGTATTTATTCAATTCTTTTGAGAAGCAGAAAAAAAAAATGTTTATAAACACTCATATTTGTGCATATTTTCTGGATAATTTCTGCTTATATAATGTCTTAGCTTTATCTCAATTGAATCCGAAAATTTGCAACACTAGGGTATATTTTTTTTCTCTTGCTTAAAGAAATATTAATTTAAATTTCTCTTCATGTCTTTAAAAAAGACTGAATTTTAGATGTTTAGCCTTGTATTTCATTAATTAACCAAATTGTGAATGATATATCTATCCTCTGCATCCTGATCCAAGTTATTTTTATTACCTTTCAGTGTTTACAGCAAACCAAATCTGTATTTTGTCAATTGGTGTTGCTTGAGTAGCATTAACTTTAATTTGTTTACCAAATTTGCTGTTTTAATTTTTTTTTTTTTTTTTTTTTTTTTTTTTTTTTAATCATTCATGCTTATGATAGTGGTGACCTATATAATTTTTTTTGTCTGTCTCTCTCTCTAATGATTTCATATATAACCTAAACTGTACATGACTTAAGTTTGGTCTTTTGGACATCTCTCCACCTCTACAAAAGCAAGCTCAGTTTTTAAAAATATTGAACAGCTAACAATTTAATGATGCCTAGCATTGCTTAGCTCTTTGATAAAATTATAACCCCCTTTAGACTCATTCTAACTGCATATTAAATTTGTTTTCTTCTATTTGCATCTTAAAATTAACCTTTTTTTTTTTTTTTTTTTTTTTTGTCTCTACCCTTTCTCTAACTAAAATACTTATTGTCAGTTATTATAAATTCTAGGCATTTCTATATATTTAAGTTTTTCATTTTTCTTTAACATGTTAATTGCAAAAATGAACCTTTTTTTGCCTTTTGTTTTTTGTTGTTTTTTGTTTTGTTTTATGAATTTTCTAATTAATTAAGCCATGATAACTTTTAATTCTTGTAAAATCTAAACAAAAACTGAATTAGATTATTTTAATGTTAAGCAGGTTATAAAAGTTATCTAATTTTTTTATTTTCATGTAAATAAGCCTATTTTGAATTTTTAACTTTGGGTTAAATGTCTCTCAAGAAAGCTTTACTGCCTGAAAACATAATTTAAAACTCCTTAAAAGTTGCTGCAAATATCTGAAACCTTAACTTTTAACTCTTAGGTTTCTTTATGATGAAGCTTTTGTGGTTTGATCATAATGTCCCACTGACTCTTCTAATAACCTTGCATTTGTTTGGTATTTTTATTTTTTTTATTTTAAAAAAAAAATCACTTACTTTTTTCAGTCCTCAAGGTTCAGGTCAAGTTAGCTTTTCTTAGTAAGGGTTTTCTGTTGAAAGGTATATGTTACGACGTGTAAATATTGTTTGTTCTCATACAGAACAATGTGGATGTTCATGAAGATGCTGTTAAGCCAATCAATCTGAAACCAGTACAGACAGAGCGACAGGCATCTCCCAAAGTAAGTTGGTAATTTAATCCTCATTGACTTCACTTACAGCCAGCCGATTACCTTGGCATGATAGGTCTGAAAGAGGGTTACTTTGTAGTTTTGTAAATTCTGCTTTCTGCCAATACATTAACTTAGAACTAGAAATAGACGAGCCATCATTTGCTTTGCCAAAACTTCATTTTTATTTTATTTATTTATTTTTTTAAAATTTTTTTTTTATTTCTTTAACTGCTGCTGCTGCTGCTTCAGATTTCATGGATGCAAGAACTTCATCCTTTAGAGATGTCAGATATTCATTCTTGGTGCAGATTCTCATTTTAATTTGTATCTGTCATTTCCCACACGCCCCTCCCCTTTTTTTTTTTTTTTTTTTTTTTTTTTTTTTTTTTTTTTTTTTTTTTTTTTTTTTTTTTTTTCAACTCATTTTTAAAAACTTCCAGCTGAGTAGGCATATACTAACAAATATTTGTGACCCTCAGTGTTTTATCCTTGTACTGCTCTTTCTTTCTTTAGTGTACTTGTGATATGCATGTTACATTTCCAGTTTGTTGTGTGTGAGTTTTTGTTTTGTTTTTGTTGTTTTTTTTGTTTTTTGTTAACATGTTCATTAAGATCATTTTTGCATTCATATTTGATCAATGTTACATTAATGTCTTGAGGCTACTGGAACTGAGTTACTTTTAGGATTTTGTCTGATAGCATTCTTTAAATTATTAAATATAAGTAGTGCTTCGCTTCAACATGGCAATTCACTAAATAGTTCAAGAAGACTGTTCCTTCGGTTTGCAAACAATAACGGGATTAATCCCTTCCATATGGCTAATCACTTCAACATACTGGTAGATTTTCAAAGTGTGATTATAAACTTGTTGCTTTCATGAAGTTTTTTTTTTTTTTTTCTTTAGACTCTCAACACTTTGCTATATAAACTGGCTTATGTAAAATTGTTGAACAATTAGTTTTTCTTGATAAAATTGATTTTGTATTTCACTGTTTGAAAGTGGTTTAGTCACCTGTAGTAATCAAGAGTGCTTATATGAGAAAGTATAATAATATTCTTGTAGCTGCAAAAATTTTCAACATCAGAATGACTGATTATATATCAATTACAAGAAGAATATGTAAATCTTTTTATCAGAACCGATGGTGTTAATATTTAAAAAATGTTCTGAATATGCAGCAAAGAGCAATTACTAAAAATATCTCAAATCTTTCTTTAAAACTAGCCAAAAACAAATAAAATTGCTGAATTTTGCAGTGCTCAATCTTTTTCCTTTCTGTTAAATTTTGTTAGAGCAATTTTTAGGTAATATTCCAAATTCAACGTTGAGCCTGACTTAAGTAAAACTGATTTGTTTTGCTTGAAAATGTTCAATTCGCCTTTGATTATTTGCTGTAATTAAATGTCAGAACATTTTCTTTGAGAAATACATTGTCTACTGACATTATTATTCTAACAAAAGCAAGGCTGTTTAGTGTTGAAGTGCTTTGTGTGCTCTGAATTTGCATTCTCTTTGTACATCATTTTCTCATAATGCAACAAATACTATTACATTAAAATTGTTCTCTCTCTCTCTCTCTCTCTCTCATATATATATATATATATATATATATATATATATATATATTTCTCTGATTTAACCAGTAGAGAAGACAATATATATAGAGAGAGAGTCAGAGATCAAATGAAGATAGGAATCTGACAGGATATGATAAAGAACAAATAGGAAACATCAATTTAGCATGTTTCACTTTTATTAAAGCTTCATCAGCGATTGAGAGAAAACAGACAAAAAAAGATAGAAATGGGTTGGTGTCTTTTTGTCTTAATCTCTGAATAATAAAAGTGAAACATGTTAGATTGATGTTTCCTATTTGTTCTTTATTTTTTTTATATATATATATATATATATATATATATATATAAGAATTTCCTCTTTTTTCTGTGATACACTCTCCCTCTGAACAATTGATATGTATGCCAACATGTTAAGTCATAAATAATTTCTGTTCTTGTTCTTTTTTGCAAAGTGTGTGTGGGGAACCCAAATGCCTAGTTTGATGGCTTTCCCTATCATTTCTAAATGTCAGCACATATAGTAAAATATGTGTGTTTAATATCTTTAATTCTTGAGTACTTTGCCATAGATTGCTTTCCAGTAATGACTTTAGAACTTTATCATCAAAGTCTCGTGGACGTCTCAGTCTGGCTTCATCTTCCAATGTTTTTCCAGAAGGAAATTTTACAGACCAATTTTGCACTTGCCAGTCAACTAGTTATGACTCCTTGACAATAAACATTGCATATTTTTCTAGATGTTACCATTACATTATTCCCATGAATAAAATTCACATGATGTCAATGAACTTTGAATACTTCCATTATTGGGGATAAGAAATTTATTCTTTGATCTACAGTGTATGCTGCTACTGGTGTGCAAAATCTAAACTGTTAGTGTCCTCCAAAGTGTGCTTAACTGCCACTGATTAGTTGTTAGGATGATATGGTCATCATTTAAATTGGCTTCTAAAAATAGAAGTTACTTATGACTTGTGTATGTATAGTTGGATTTAACTTGATTTAGTGGATGAAAGCATTTTCCCTTTTTGTTGCAGTCATTCAGATTAGAAACATTGTCCATCACTATTTACATGCTTGCGTCTGAAAAAGTTGTTCTTTGTCTTCATTGTAGATAAACTCCAGTATTTTAGAAGTATATTGATATTAATTTCGGAAACTAGTTTTTTTGTGGAATGTTTTTTGGTTTACTCATAGGTGAACAATGTAGAAGTGGAACTGCGAAAAGCCTCTGATGAAAATAAAAAAATGATGCAGGAAATTTGTCAACTGAGAGAAGAAAATACTCAGCTTAAAGTAAGTTCTGAAGGGTTTTTTGTTTTGTTTCTGTCTCTCCCTTAATGCAATATGGATGTGTGCATACAGTGTCATTATTTCCAATAAGTATAAATTCTTTGAGATAATGTCTGCAAATTACTGAACTTAAAATTCTTTAATATTTTAAATGGTTTAAAAATCAATTTTATGAACTGGTTTCACAAAACTTTGGTTAGCCAGATTTAAAAAAAAAAAAAGAAAAAAAAAATTTTCAAGTAACAAATGTAAACTCTTTACAAGAACATTTTGATTATAATTATGTGGAAAGTTACTAGATATTGTCTGCTGTAAAACATTAAATGCACCTTAGCAGATCCAAAACTATTTGTTTCTATTAATGTTTGAATGTTTAGTTTATATATTTATCTTCCAGGATGAAAGAGTGCGCTTGCGTCGGGTTGCCATGACAGAAACCATAAGCTCTACACCACAATCCAGCTCGTCTCAGTTATCATCTACGTCAGGACAGGGCAGCCAGGGCACTGCACTTCCTCCCATTGTCTATTTGTTGGCAGCGCTCTTAGTTGGGCTTCTCCTGGGCAAGTTACTGCTGTAATTGCAGCTGTAGCTGAGGATCTTGACTGCCACAGTGGGGCGCCAATGATGGTGGTGCCGACGACAATTATTAATGCAAAAAAAAAAAAAAAAAAAAAAAACAAAACAAAAAATGACGCCATTGCCATTCCCGCCCACTGTAAGAGAAACAACCTACTGTGCAGATTTTATCAGCCTAGTCAGCAGGCAACATACAGGAACCTTCAATCAATTGTGTGGATAAACATGAGACATGCTGAGGCATATCTTAACGTTGGGGATGGGCTGTGAAGGGACATGTTGGTTTATATTTTTTTTTTTTTTTTTTTTTTTAATTTTATTTAAAAAAAAAAAAAAAAAAAAACAAATTTTTTCCTCTCCCTTAAAAAAAAAAAAAAAAAAAATCCATTGTTCAAATTCAGAAACTTTAATAATGTTATGATCACTAATTTTACCAAGATGTTGAAATAACAAGCATTTTGCTGCCTCTTGTATTTTCTGTGAGTGCACTTTGTAAACTGCACTGCTTTGCTCATATGGGTCACTATTTCTGCTACTACTTCTCTTACTATTGCTACTGACTAAAACTTGACAATTGATTAAAAGGGATTGCTGTGAAAAAACTGATAAGTTTGGATTTTATTTTATTTAAAAACTCCTTTTATCTTCTCCCACCTGTTTTCAGACTCCAGAAATGTGGATGTCACAATACTTCCTAAATCCCAACCAGTGTTGCAGCATAAAGTTGTCTTAGGTTTGTTCCAACAGCTCTATCCTCTCCAGCAGACATACTTTTCAACTAGTTTACTACTAAACCTAAGTAGCACCATTACTGATTTTCTTTCTTCATCCTAGTGGTTGGTGATAAGGAACTACCGACTTGTTCTGTACGACGAACATTGTTGCATGCCTAATGATGCTATTGATTGCTCAATAAGTCTTCTTTCTTTCTTCACTGCCAAGTGTTGGTCAACATCGGGGGGGGGCGTTGCAAAAGGGTACACACTAAGGCAAAAATAGCGTTGTCTATTTCTTTCATTTAACCAAACTTTCTCAAATGTCTGCAAATGATAACGTATCTATTTAGTCTCGTTCAATTAGCCAAATTTTATTTATATATGGATAATTAACCACTGACACAATTGGTGTGTCGTGACTGAAATTAGTCTGTGCCCTCTCCTGCTCCCATCCAGTTTCTACTCTTTACCCACATGAGCAAGAATTTTGCTTTTTACTCATTTTGAAGCAATGCTAAAATGCTTCTGTTTTATTCCAGAAACTTCAGACACCTTTTTGGAATATTATGTGCAGTTATTTTTGATAAATCCAGCAATTTTATTTTAAGTTTTTTTTTCACCATTTCTGTTACCAAGTGGTAAAAAAATTTTTTTTTTTTTTTTTTTTTTTTCCCCCTCACCACTTTATGCATATCAATTTTCTTGTAGACAAGCTTTCTATCTTCAGCCCCCAAACAAAATCTTACTGACCAATACTAAGGGAGGTAACTAAAGACCTCCCTTTTTAGTTTGGTATGAAGGCAGTTCTATTATTCTCAGTCACAAGCAATCATCATCTAACTCTGCTTACTTCTCACAGATTGATTTCAACGTCAGCAACATTCAACATTTGGTCTTTCTATATTGAAAGGAACCAGAAAAAAAACAACTTGCTTCCTATTGTTAGAATAGGAATACTTTAGCTAACATCATCTATTATGATATAGGCAGTCACCACCTCTTCCTCTACCCCCATGTATATCCTGTGCCTATGAAGAAAAAAAAACAGATTTTCAAAAAGAAAAGGGGAAAACAAAAACTCTACCATTATTATTAATTGATAATAAAGCCAACAAACTATGGAATGTTGATATTTTGTCTAAAATGTTTTGACATTCAAGAAAAATGGTTTCCTTATGGGTTGGGGTAAAATCAAAACTTTTTTTGCTTTTTTTCTTCCCCTGGGGATCTTAAGTTATATATATATATATATATATATATATATATATATATATATATATATATATATATATATATATATATATATATTCTGTGGTATGTAGTTTGTTATCTTGCTAAAATTACTACATCCAGACTGCTTTTAATCTTTTCTATTTACTTGTTCTATTACAAATAGCTTGTTTAGTAATTGTATTGACTGGCAGGAATCTTAACTCTCATTTTTTTTTTTTTTTTTTTTTTTTTTTTTTTTTTTTCCCCTTCTCCACCCTTATTCTGAGCCTGTCCAGTTAACGACATAGTTGTGTCAACCATGATCTTGCAACTAGTCTCTCCTGTCCTTACCTTTCCTCCTCCCATTACTATTCTATAGAAATTGCATACTCTTGAGTAATTGTGCTTAGTATTATCTACAGATTTATTGTTGCACACCTATGTATTTAATTCTGTGCTCAGATAGCCCTGCTATACAGATACACTTCAGTTTGTATTATCACTTACACAAATTACAAATAAAATCCTTTAAAAAAAAAAAAAAAAAAAAAAAAAAAAAAATTAAAAAAATAAAGTTATTTCCATCCGAAGATAAAGTAAAATTTAAAAAAAATTATTTTGTTGTCTAGGAGTTGTTATTTTTTTTTTTTTTTTCTCCTCTCCTTCATGTTGTTTTCATTTTATGCAAAAATTTAGTTGAAATATTTAACATGGTGTATCCTAAGTACCAATTTAAGAAAATGGGTGTCAGTTAATGAATTATTTTTTTTTTTTTTTTTTTTGTCAGCTTTGTTGCTCTTTTTTTTATCTCTCTCTCTCTCTCTCTCACTATGTGTAACTTCTCATTTGTTTATATTCTTTGCCAGTTCCCCCCCTCTTTCAAATTACAATAGCTCCCATTTACTACTCTGTACAATCTAAATTTGTGTATTTGGAAACATTAGTGAACAGGCACATTTTTGGAATAATTTTCTGTCTTTCAAGCTGACAATGAAAGCAACCATGACCAATAATCAAAACAAGCAGCCTATGTCCACATCCACACTTCTGGGTTATGGTAGTGAAACACCTGAATGTTTGTCATTTTTCTGTTTGTAAATTCTCTTGACAATTTTTCCTTTTGAATAATCTTGCTGTTTCAAAGTAGTAATTGCTAATGAATTTAAATCATGTTCTTTTGATTATTCAATCTGTCTCTGTACAGTTGATATCCATTGAAAAGATACTCACTTTGTTTTGCCCAAATTATTTAGATCTTATCATTTGAAGTCCTTGGTTGGCATTGTTAAAATAATTTAACTGACTCTTCACTGCCCTCCCCTCCCAATTTCTTTTCATATCATCATGCTGTCGAATGTTTTTTAAAAAAAATTACAGATTAATTTATTTCTTGTCTACTTGATTCTTTCTTTTTAAGCTAATGTTGACTGCTCAAGAATCCAGTGTTGAGCATTTATTCTAAAGTGATCACAATCTTTTCATCTTGCTGCAAATGGCAGAACAGATGCATTTGGATTGGAGATCATTTTCCTTGTTGGTCTGTGACTTAACCTCCATCACTGGTTGAGCCACAGTATGCAAAGAAACGGTCTTTGACACTGAAATCAGATGAAGCATGGAAAAACAACTTTAGCCCTTCCTTTCTAAGATTCCCAATTCTCACATTGGACAATCGCAAAAGATACAGAGATAGATATATTTCCGTTATTTTATTTGTGCGTGTGTGTGTTTTTTTTTTTTTTTTTTTTTTTTTTCCATAAATATCTGAGTTGAATGAATTTTTCCCCTTTCACTTGTAGAGGAATATATTGATCCACTTAATACTCAGCCAAAATTGCATGCAATTTCTGGCTGGTTTTGATTGGGCATAGTGATAGTCTTTCTTTGATATCATGCCTTTTTCTCAAATCTCTTCATGGTCCACTCTGTTGAGATTGCTGCTGCCAGTGTAGATGTGCCTGTTACTTGGTTACTTCTGCCTCTTCATATGTGAACAGTTAGTTGTCAAAACTTGGGTCACCCCTCAAGACATGTTCACACAGCCTACATGTCAAACAGCATGACCATGTTTATCTTAAAGCTTCTTTTATTTTACTTTTCTTTTTTCTTTCTTTCTTTTTTCCTTTGCAATATAGTTGTACCATTCAACCTGAAATAAATGCTATTACCACATAGTTCGTTTTTGTTTTTGAAATTACATTCAAATTTATTTTTATCATCTTCATTGGATGGTCAGCTTATTGCTTTGACCGCCATACTTACCTTTCGTCCATGACCAAAATCAAAAAAATATTCTGTCTGTCTCTCTCTCTCTCTCTCTCTCTCTCACACATATATAATTCCTTGTAAGAGACCCTGATAGATTACCTTGATTTAATTTGTACCATAGCTTGGAGAAGGAAATTCAACCAACTAATTTAATTAATATTAACTACAACTAACCATTTTAGTACTAAAGTTTTATTTTATTTTTTTAAGTGCATAAATTTTGAGGATTTATCTAGTATCTATAGTTCTCATTGCATCAAATTTTTCCTTTCATTTAAGCATCCACAGTCCTTACAAGTCAAACTTTATCTCGAGACACTTCTTGAGTATTATCTATTTCGCAGGAATCCTGAAGTGACAGCCCATTATTTCTCAGTATTTTCTTTTTGAATTTTCGATAGAATGGTCTTGAAGATTCTATGTGAATCTTTGTGCAGAGATGTAGTGATATCCAAACCTCTGTCATTTTCTCTTGGTAAGCTACTGCAGCTCAAGTTTGTACTAAATGGAAATTAGTGTTTTACCTTCTAAAGCTTCCTTTGACATTTGATTTTGAAAAAAAAAAAAAAAAACTTTGTTGGACCTGTGGTGATCTTTCATCACTTACATAACAATAAAATGTTTTCCACTTGTTCCTAATAATCTTTAGGACTTCATGCACTACCTTGAAAGATAAGGCACCCATATTCTCAGGCAAAATACTGCTTTTATACAATTGGATTTGTTCTAAGAGTTCTCAAATTTATATTGTGTTAGCATATCCAATTTCAAATATTTCATTGGTATGGTTTTGTGTGTGTGACGG